AGAGAGAGAGAGAGAGAGAGAGAGAGAGAGAGAGAGAGGTGAACTTTTGCCTGTAGCATTTCCTGAGTGAAAAAACAGGCACACAACTAATGAGTTAAGTAAAAGTTGCTGTTTCACCCATCTAAGTGAACTTGGGTTAATGAGGAGACTTTACACAGAACATGGTCAACCTCGATGCCCTTCTCTGTATCAGCTCATGAGGAGCAGGCAGTGACACATGGCCCTGGGGGAAGGCTGACCAGCAGGAGCGCATCCTACAGGCGCCTAGGGCTGAAGAGGCATTTTCCCTTTCCCTCCCGCAGGGATGTCAGGAGGCAGGGACAGTTAGGCACCCAGGTCACCCGTGGGAGTGGAAGTTCTTGAAGCCACCACATGGCTAACACTGAGTCCCCACTGTGGCTAACATGGTGCTGCAGACATGACATATCTACAGAGCTTTTCCACTTAAAAATGCTGGGAGGAAGAAGGGAGGAGAGAGGAAGCCTGTGGGTGATGGGAGCCTCCATTGGAGGGAGAAGTCCTCAGATGTTGTCAGGATAGTGTGCTGCTGCGCCCTGCCTGCGCTTAGCAGGGTGGAGGGTGAGACAAGAAGAGGGAGGCGGGGAGCGTGGTGCAGCCCATGCCTCTGAGGAGTGAGAAGATGTCCTGCCAAGAACCAGGAGAGATTCCCTGGCCAGCACCTGCACTCACTGCTAGGACAAGAAGCTGGTGAGGGGCTCCTGGGTCTGTCCTATGTCTCTCACCTCAGCATCTTCTTAGACCTGAGTGATGCCTTTCGTGCTGGAGGGTTCACTACTGGACTCTCACTGGGCTCTCCTCAAAGTCTTCTGCCAATCTCCCCAGCAAAGTAAAACAAAGTGATCCTGCAGCTTCCCCTGACAGTGAGGAGCAGGAGTGTGTCCACAACTTCCCACCCCACTGTGGCAAAGGATCTGCTGTCCCTTAATGGACCAAAGGGAAACAACGTCCGGACACATGCAGGACAGGATGAGAGAGAAGACTGGCACAGTTCATTTTCTGGCTGCCTCGGGATGATGAGCATGACAGAAGGATCCTGGTCCCCTCTCTAGGAGCACAAACTAGGTTGGCACTTTGCAACAGTTGCTCTCAGACACGAATATGGGTTTCCCACCCTCTAATTTATGAATTTTCCTTTTACAGTATTCTTTCAGAGGCCATCATAGCCAGAAGTATTCTTGAGACTATCGTGTTAGTTTAAGATGATTTCTTTATTTCTTAAAGAAATAAGACAACACAGTACATGATCCTGCCTTAGTTGCTAAGTGTTATGGAGCTAAAAAGGAGCTTGTAGGGGGCAAATTGTTATAATGTGAACTTGGATGTGGAGTAAATTAATTATATCAATTTTAAGTCCTTTATATTGTCCACTGTATCATTGTACTGTGTTTATGGGGAGAAATATTTGAAAGCACACACTGAAGTATTGAAAGAAGCATGTATATGGGTGAGGGTGTAGGTAAGGTTGAACACACATGCAAGCATGTGCACATATGTACACATCTGCCTTTATGAGGTGGGGATGGGAAGCCAGGGGAGAGGTAGGCAAAGAAGGGCCGGGCGATTAGGCAGAGAACAGGAATCGGGGAGGAAACCAAGGTCAAGAGTTGGGGAATCTGGAGAGGATATAGGAGAGCGCCCTGACTATCATGGAAACTTTTCTGAAAGTTTTAAATTTTACCTATATTGAATAAACTCCCCCCTCGCCTTTTCCTTTCCTTTCTTGCTCACAGCTGACTTGAAGACTAATTCTAAGGAACACTGTGAATCACACATCTGCACTAAGTAAACCACAAGGCTGATTTGACAGGAAGGCCTCATAAAATTCAAGGAAGATTAAGTTTTCTTTGAAAATACAGTTTTGGGAGTGAAGCTGAATCAGATCAATATAATACTTGGCTAGAATATTTCAAAAACACACACAAAATGCCAAGAACACTGGCTCCTTTCAAGGTCCAGACCCGCTAGTTCTGCAGTGAGCGACGACACATCTCCAGAGTCCAAGGAGGGGCGCTTGGGTGCGGCTGATGACTAAGGAAAGATATCCCTAGAGCACCAGCCCATTCCCCACAGACCCTGGACACCCCTGGACTCTGGTGTGGACGTGGTAGGCATGAGCCAGAGAAGACTTGACCACCACAGAATTTCAAGTTTCCATTCTTTTGAAAGATCTGGGTCAAGAAGAAATATTTTTTACTCCCCTCTTAAAGATAATATTAAACACAGAAGTTTTCATTTCCACAGAAGTTTCTACTTAACTTGGCAACTTAGAGGGTAATTCCTTTCATCTGACTTTCCATGACTCTATAATAGGGTAAGGAATACACAGCTTGTATAGTCTTGGAATAATCTAATAAAATTTATCATAAATGACTGTCACATTTTAGAGCTCAAAATGTGAGAATAAGGTGGATCTCTTTACCCATTGTTTTAAATCTTAAAACATCACTACTTAGTTTTTCTAAATTTTTCTTTCCTTGTATAATAGAGGAAAATATAATAAGCATAACAGCAAGTACTGTAGTATGTCATCTCCCAGGGTCAGCTGGGAGATATTTAGGATGGCCCAGGATAGTAAGAGACAGCTGAGGCAGAAGGGCCCATCTGTAATTCAGCCTGTCAAATATAGATCCCAGTAACTTCGGGACGAAATGGAGAGAGAGGGGTAGGGCGTGTGTGTGTGTGTGTGTGCGCGTGCGTGCATGTGTGTGTGTGCACGCACGCGCATGCAAAGCAGACAGAGAAATAGTTGGGAAGGAAGAAATAGCCAGCTACTTGGTAGGACACAGACTGAGACTGTCTGAAGGATCAATGAGTAATAATGTTTTCCAGTGGTTACATAGTTGCTGAAGGGTTTCCTTCTCCTTTTACACCTACTCGGAAATCATGGCAGATCTCATTTCACATCCTGTACACAGGGGCATGATATAACCACAGAGTGGAGCTAACCTGCACTGCTAGGATTAGAGCTGACTTAAGGGCAAAGCTCTTCCGCAACTGGAAAGTGTCAGAAAAAGAAAATGTGATTTGACTCTTAGGCTTTTTCTCTTACATCCCTTTAAACTCAGCTATAGCATAATGGTCCCAGACATGAACAACAGAAATAAGGAAAGTGACAAAATGGAGGGCGAAGTGACAAAATGCTAGGCACTGTTAAAGAAATTTGGCTTTGCCTCCTCAAGAGAGAGTCCAGTCCGTCACTGCTGCACAAAACCCTAGGTGGCCTGAACAAAAAAAAAAAAAAAAAAAAAAGGTAGCATGAAGTCACAAGCGTAGCTCAGACCTCAACATGACCACTGACCTACCTACCTACCAACTCTTAAAAGGACGACAAGAAATCAAAAACCTTTGGTGCAGCCTTGATGGCTATAAGAAAGGGCAGAATCAATACTGATGCTTGCTACAGAGATCTTCCAGGTGAAGTCTGTGCAGTGTTCAATACTCTATTTTCTTCTCTCTTAAATTTAAGGGATTTAAAATTAAGGGACAGGGTGGCTGGAGAAAAGAAAATGGGTGATCTGATTCTGGAGGATAGTAGTGATCAATCATGGCCGAACTGGTATAAAAACCTTTGTATTTATCTGGAAAAATTGCTAAGTAAATGTACAGAATTAAAGTATGAAAAATATAAATCATAAAATATAGGTTGCCTTTGGTAAATGTTATTTTTCTTTAAACTTAAAAATACATGGAGAGATACTTCATGTTCTTGGATAGGAAAACTGTTTTGTTGAGATGTCAGTTCTTCCCAACTTGATCTATAAACTCTGCAATTCCTACCAAAATTGCAGCACTATGTGTTTTACATATTGACAAACTTATGAAGGCTATCTGGTGAGGAAAAAGACTCAAAATAGCCAATGGAAAACTAAAGGAGGGGCTGGTGAGATGGCTCAGTGGTCTAAAGCACCTACTTAGAACAAGCTTAGCAAAGCACATGGACCACGGTTCAATCCCCCAGCACCACATGCCAGCCCCGCCCCCTGGTGGGCTGAGCTGGCCACACACACACACACACACACACACACACACACACACACACATATAAATAAACT